GTTTTCCTTTAATTTAAGTATAAGAACATAAAGGAGTTATTTTGAGGGCAGGCTAACAGGATCATGACAAAATTGTAAAAATAGTGCCCAGCGTTAATTCTCATTCTTGTTTTTATTACCTTCTTTTCACCCACCCTGAACAGCGTACCCTTCTAGCTCTAGGATATTTCTAAGACTTAGATGAAAGAGTGGCAGGGAGGCAACACAGGGCTTCTCCTCTAGATGTTTCTTCTTCTCCTAGATCTTTGAATGGCTCCCCTCTTCAGGTCTCTGCCTCTGGATGACCGCTGCCAACCCTGCCTCTTACTCCCAACTCATTTTCTGTGCCCTCACTTTTCCTTACTTTCTTCATCTGTTTATTTCTTGTATTTGTTCCTTTCTGTTTCTCACACTATTCTGCAAATTCCATTAAGGCAGGACTTTGCCCTGTTAACTGTTAACTGCTGTTAACAACCCCAGTGCCTAGAACAGTGCCTAACACAAAGTAAGTACTCAGTATTGAGTAAATGAATCATTTACAAATCTGGAAAAGAGAAGAAATACAGGCAGTTCATGAAGGCTTTCAAGGATCATTAAGTTGACTCGCTTAAAGGGTGAATTCAGGAGTATGAGCCATCTTTGTTTCCTCAACAATCAGACTACTAGTATTCTTATGTTCTGAACAAAGAGCAAGTCAGGTACAGAAAACAAAGCATCCATCATCCCTCTTATTCATTTGTCCAACTGCTGTAGCCAACAACCTAGAAGTGATTCTTTATTCCTCTTTTCTTTCTCTCTCACATCCAATCTTTTGGGTCTAATTCAAAAATTATTTTCTGAATTGAGGTAGCCTAAAAGAAATTTAAAACATCTTATGCTTATGGCCTCTATCTCAATGGTTAAAAATGTTAATTTCAGCAAATTAAAAAGAAAAAGCAGAATGACTATACAATCAGATACCTTTCCAGGTGTGTTGAACCTAGACCCAGGGAGATATGAAGGAAATAATGCCAAGATGTTTCAGAGAAAAGGAGAGAGAGTAATGCCCTCTGTTCATAGAGTTCTGTACAAGTCATAATTCCCAGGGCCTTTAACATTTTCTCTGTAACTTTTCCTATTCCAGAAACCTAGAAAAGAATCAATATTTATCATTAATACATTTTTTAATTAGGGTAAGTATTATAATCTCATCATACCTTTTATAACCAATAAAAGGTATAATAATGTGCTTATTTTCACAAGTTATACAAGAAAACCACTTTAATTACTTTCTGGCCGTATTTCCTAAATTCACATTCCATGGAAATTTAAAATTTTAAATTCTATGGAATTAAAAAAACACTTAAAAAAGAGTTCTGTGGTTATATAAACTTGGGGAATGGTAGGATAAACAATCTTGTTTTTCCCTTTTAATTTTTTTAAATTGAAGTATAGTTGACGTACAACATTACATTAGTTTCAAGTGTACAACACAGTGATTTAACATTTACATACATTACAAATCAATCATCACAATAAGTCTATAGCCATCTGTCATCATACAAAGTTATTATAATATTATTGACTATATTCTCTATGTCATACATTACATCCTATGACTTATTTGTTTTATAATTGGAAGTTTGCACCTCTTAATCCTCTTACCTATTTTGCCCAACTCCCCATGCTCCTCCCCTCTGGCAACCAAAGTTTGTTCTCTGTAACTATGAGTCTGTTTCTAGGATAAACAAACTTAAAATGAAATTTTTATTGTAAGAATGATGAATCCTTAAGATACTAATACCTGTTGTGACCCACCAAGGGTGGTACATTCCAAGGTTCTTTGATCCCAGAACCTTTTTTAAATAGAACACCCATTCATACTTTGGAAAACACATTGGAAAACACTGCTTTATAGCTACATCTTATATATACTATTCAGGAATCATTATACATTATATATATTGATACAGTCTTGCTTCTGAACATTGAAAATGTTTATTTAAATTTCACTAATATACATTATGCTGAGTGAGAAAAGCAAGTCCTAGAACATCAAATAGTTTACAGAGCAATTATTATTTTTAAAAAGCATATATATGCAGAAAAATTTAGAAGCTGTACAAAATAATAAAATGTATCCTTTCTAGAATCCCTGACGGAGTCTTTTATCATTTTAAAGATAGTAAAGTGTTTTGGGTTTTTTGTGGGGTTTTTTTGGGGGGGGGGAGTAATTAGGTTTTTATTTATTTATTTATTTATTTATTTATTTATTTATTAATTAAATGGAGATCCTGGGGATTGAATCCAGGACCTCATACATGCTAAGCACACACTCTATTACTGAGCTATACCCCTCGCCTCACCCCGTTTTTGTTTGTTTGTTTGTATTTTGGTCAAAAGCAATTAAAATTCTAAACCTATTAATCTGGTAGCAATTTGGATTTTAGAACTAAGACAGCATGTTAAGTTACAGCTGAAAGGACTCTGACAAGTATTTTTTATTCTTCCATCTCCTTAAGTCTGTCATGTGTTACTTCCTTAAAACTTTACAGCAAACGAGTTTCTTTAACTTCAATTTTTAGGGTTTCACAGAAAGATTTCTTCAAATCCAAACTCAAATCATCCATCACAGTTCTTGCTTGTTACCTACTGTTTTAAAATTTTTCAAAAAAAAACCCATTATGATCATCCTAAACAGTATTTCTTCAGACCTCAGAGAATATGTACAGATCATAAATTTTCTGTAAAATCTCACCTTTCTAATGGGTAAGTCCTTGATGAAGTCCATCACAGCTTGTCTGTTAGGGGGAATTTGGTATTGTCCATTTGGTTTATTCTTATCACTGCATACTTTTGCTAACATTGTATTTGGTGCAATGCCTTAAAAGAAGAACACAATGATGACTCAAAGAACATGATATGTATGATTTTAAAATATGTAATAATACAGACAAAAATTAAATGCAAAAATCTGAAACGATGTGGAATGCCACTTTAAAAATAACACTTGATTACTATTTATCTCCATAGGGCTTGCTATGGTTTTAGAAAAAGAAATTGTATTAGTCATTGTGGCAGCAGAAATGGGGAAGCCTATGAGTAATTTCTGAGTTTAAGTGATATTATTAGTACATTTATTATATTTAGTAGGAATACAGGACTGTCATAGAAAAGATTGAGAATATTCTCATTATATAAGGATTATATAAAATAGGATGGCTGTTTACTCTTTTAAAAGGTCTTTTGTAGAAATAATCCACATTAAAAAAAATCAAAGATTCTGATTTCCAGTATATTAAAGCAATGATAATGAAACGTGTGCATCCTTTTTATGCTACTTACAAAGCAAGTTACTACTTTTCAGAAAGGTGTTTTATAATTTCAAGGTGTCTCAATGATTAAGATAACTTGAAATAGGCATATTCAAATATAATCATTAAATAGTTCATTTCAATTTTTATACACATTTTCCTAAAACTTATTACTTATTCTCATGCTTTGGCATAGGAAGAAAAGACTAACCCAATCATAATACGACTTTCATAAAATAATGTAAGGTTCTCAGGATGAATTCCAGTTTCTACACTAAGAAACAGTGATACCCTCATAGGTTACTGACTTTGTAAATCTCTTTTCCCCTTCACCAGATGATCCTAGGTTGCTGTATTGATAGCTGGTATTTTTTCTATCTCATTCATACTGTGTGTGGTCATCTTAGGTCTTTCTTGTACTGAAAGGCTTCAAAGAGAAAACTAATAAAATATTATGTCCAAAATCAATTAAAATAGATTTTGTGCTTAAAAAAGGATAGCTACATGAGATTTATGGTAATTTTTTGCTTTGGACTTGGAGGCTTTTCTGTTTAGTTCTGATTTACCTACAGGTTCACAGCATTCTGAAGAGGTAAAGTTGTTAGAAGTTAAATAAAAAACAGATAACTAGAATGTTACTATACACTTTATAATGAGAAACTGCTAATATTACACTTCAATTAGCCGGTCTGAAAATTGTAACTATTGGAATCATCGATATCCTTTAAAGTACCTGCACTGGCTGTCAGTGTTGTTTTTTGCTCGATTCTGAAACGAATTTCCTTTACTACTTCCTCAGCTGATGTTCCAAAAACAATTGCATTTTCGAGTATCTGAGGATTATTTGGTTCTTCAGAGTTCACTTGGAGAGGATTTCCTGTGGACTGCAAATCAGGAGGACTATCTTCAAAAAGGAGTGGAGAGATGGATCGTTCACACTCACTCAGTTTAACCTCCTTTCTGGGTTTATCTAAATTATAAACAAAAATAGTAAATCATCTTCATTTTAAAACATGTATACTTCATAAATAGGTTCCCCTACAGTCTTTCTAAAGACAAAACAAATCTGGTTTAGTTTTGTTTCTAAGAACCAAGATCAGAAATGTTATCATTTATATTTTTACCTATTTAATGAAGAAAACATTAATTCAAAGATCTACTTATAAAGAATATTATCCATTTCCATAGTATACATCTTAAAAGGAAATAGCTTATGTAAAACTCACTAATTTCTGTACTGAAATTAACTGAAACTCAGAATTCGAATTAGATTCACATTTCTTTTTTTCTTAAGAAAAATGAAAGTTTTTTTCTCTTTTCTCATCTCTGGGGAGTATGTGCGGGGAAGAACCTTCTAAATTAGATTTAGGAATAAGGGAAAAGGTTATTAAGCAATCTAGAATAATTATGCCTAAAAGGAAAATTTTGTTTTTAGAGGGGAGAAAAAAACCTTAAAATATTCTTCATTCATGGAAGAAATTTTCAGATGTTAAAGTAATCTGAATTTTCTTTCAAGTGCTGATTTTAATTTTGATTTGTTTATAATAATATGAATTAAGTTACAGACAGATATTTTCCAAATCTGAATTCCCAGGCCATTTACAAAATAAGCCTTATTTTCAAACTTACATAAGCTGTTATTTGTGTACTTTAGTTTCTTTCACTTTCTGTGATCTGGTTTTAAAATGCAGAACAATTCAGAGGGAGTTAAGACTGTGGCACAGCTGAAATGGTATCCACCTGGATCTCCTTTTCCCCATTTAGATGGAAGGGTGGAAGTCAAGGTAAAGAGCTACAGAATCACTGCAGACCAAGTAAGGTATATTCCTAAGCCCCTTCCGCAGTTCCTTATGCTGTGTTTTGCACCTTATCTTTCTATCACACTGCCTCAGGTCAGTCACTGACAGAGCCCTACGGCAGAAAGCAAAGTGTGCTTGCCTTCAGGTTCACTGTTCAGAGCCGCTGCTGAATGGTATAGTTACCTTTTCTTTTTCTTTTTTTTTTTTTTTAACATTTTTTATTGTATTTATAATCATTTTACAATGTTGTGTCAAATTCCAGTGTAGAGCACAATTTTTCAGTTATACATGAACATATATATATTCATTGTCACTTTTTTTTCTCTGTGAGCTACCATAAAATCTTGTATATATTTCCCTGTGCTATACAGTATAACCTTGTTTATCTATTCTACAATTTTGAAATCCCATCTATCCCTTCCCACCCTCTGCCCCCTTGGCAACCACAAGTTGTATTCTCTGTCTGTGAGTCTATTTCTGTTTTGTATTTATGCTTTGTTTTTTTGTTTTGTTTTGTTTTTTTAGATTCCACATATGAGCAATCTCATACGGTATTTTCTTTCTCTTTCTGGCTTACTTCACTTAGAATGACATTCTCCAGGAGCATCCATGTTGCTGCAAATGGGGTTAGGTTGTCAGTTTTTATGGCTGAGTAGTATGCCATTGTATAAATATACCACATCTTCTTTATCTAGTCATCCGTTGATGGACATTTAGGCTGTCTCCATGTCTTGGCTATTGTAAATAGTGCTGCTATGAACTTTGGGGTGCAGGTGTCATCCTGAAGTAGGGTTCCTTCTTGATATATATGCCCAGGAGAGGGATTCCTGGGTCATATGGTAAGTCTATTTTTAGTGTTTTGAGGAATCTCCATACTGTTTTCCACAGTGGCTGCACCAAACTGCATTCCCACCAGCAGTGTAGGAGGGTTCCCTTTTCTCCATAGCCTCTCCAGCATTTGTCATTTGTGGATTTTTGAATGATGGCCATTCTGACTGGTGTGAGGTGATACCTCATTGTAGTTTTGATTTGCATTTCTCTGATAATTAGTGCTATTGAGCATTTTTTC